GGAACAGCGCGGGAAACTTAAGCAAGGGCAGGGTCGTGAAGAAAGAAATCTTCGTGATCCTGGCGTGGTCTGAAGACAGGAGGGCACCGTTTTTCCTTCTCTTGAAAAAACACAGCGGCTAGGAAAGACCTGGAACGTCCCAGTTTCCCCTCCTGGCCCTGCCGATAACAAGGTAGGCGACTGCCTGCCACTCAGAGCCTCAATTTGGGTGTAAGAATAGTTTTTCGGTTAGAGATAATCCCAGTTAAGCAACACCTGGCCAGCCCTAAATTGTTTTTCAAAAACCTGGCTTTTATCCTGCGAGACTCAAGGCCATCCTTTCACTGTATCCAGCCCCTCCCTAAACCAATATTTACTGGGGCTCTAATCCCAAAGGACAACCCAGTCCTGCCCTGACGGACTTGCTGACCCTCTGGAGAGGCGCAGGTCAATTTTCGCTCCTGCCTAAAGGAGGAGGACACCTTTTCCTCAGCCCATTTGCCATATGTAAAGCCAGTCCTGGCTCCGTTCATTCATGAAAAGCAAGTACTGGGACTTCCCAAGCTACGGTAGGGTCGGCTGGCGCCTAACTCCACTCTGAGAGTCGCGCAAGACAAGCTGGGATTCCCGCTGCAGCCTGCTCCGCAGGACAGAAACCTGAGTTGAGAGACACGTGCGGACAGCCGCCACCTACGCATGCGCAAAAGCCTCCCCCTTCGCCTCTCCGTGAGCCCTGGAACTACAAATCCCGTCCTGCCACGCGCCCGGGTCGGGGCGCTTTGGGGCTCCCGCTGGGAATCAAATGGGGGGAGGGTCTGGATACCCACCGAGGTGCATGTTGAGCATAAGGAACAGTGAGACGGGCTGGCTTTGGAAGGATTCCTGGGGAGGCGTGGAGGTAGGAGTTTCTGGTCAAGCTTGGGGGCTGCCCCAGATAAGGGTAAGATGGGGAGCGAGTTTGGAATGCAGGAGACAGTTTTAATATTCACCCTCTGCTTTTTTTTTTTTTTTTTTTTTTGAGACAGAGTCTCGCTTTGTTGTCCAGGCTAGAGTGAGTGCCGTGGCATCAGCCTAGCTCACAGCAACTCAAACTCCTGGGCTCAGTGATCCTTCTGCCTCAGCCTCCCAAGTAGCTGGGACTACAGGCATGTGCCACCATGCCCGGCTGTTTTTTTCTATATATATCAGTTGGCCAATTAATTTCTTTCTATTTATAGTAGAGACGGGGTCTCGCTCTTGATCAGGCTGGTTTCGAACTCCTGACCTTGAGCAATCCGCCCGCCTTGGCCTCCCAGAGAGCTAGGATTACAGGCGTGAGCCACCGCGCCCGGCCCACCCTCTGCTTTTAACACGGCAGTTTTCCAGCGACCCTGCACACGCCTTGGGGAGAGTTGTTGCAGAACGAAGTGGCCCCTGCCGCGTGTATGGTTCACATTGTTTGCCCTCGTGTGGTCACAGAAGTCTTTTCTTCCATTCCCAAGCTGGTGGATTCCAGTGCTGAATCAGGACAAATTTTTGGGTTTTGTTTTCTGTTTTCCTATTTCTTAAGTACCTTCTGCATGTCAAGTGGTTCCCAAATGTTTTCTCATGCTATTCTCACAACAGCTTTATGCCTGGCAAACTTACTTCAGTTCAACTAGCAGCGCTCAGTGCAAAAAGAAACTCCTGGAACTTGTGCCCAACCGCGAATCTAAGATGAGAGACAAACGGGCTCTCAATTTTCTACAGCCACCCTGCCTGAGCATCTCATCACACTGCAGCCCCCCACACCCTGAGCTAACAGGTCAGGATTTTTCAAATACAGCCCCCAAATGCAAGCCAACGTCCTCACTCAGAGAAGCACTGAAAGCTGTTTTAAAAAATATCAGGGTTAAAGTAGACTATGTGAATATTGTCCTTACTTTAGAATTGGGCTTTAGAGATGCTTTGGTATTTTACCTCTATTTTATAGATAAAGAACCTGAACCAAGAAAGGCTAAGTGACTTATCCAAGATTACACAGCCAACAGGCACCAGAATAGTTTGAAGTGTGAGTCACCAAAACCTGCATTTGATGCTCCTCCCCCTCCAGACTTTTCCTAGGTCAGAGCTGGTAGGTACCATGAGTGAAGGGAGGTGCCTGGACTTTCAGCTCCTCCTGCCTCTTGACACTAGAATAGAGGCTGAGCACCTGCAGGGACGACCTACTTCTCCCACTTGTGTTTCTTTTTAAAGATCCAGCCGCTGCTGGTGGCTTTGGGGGAGGAGGAGGTAGGGATAGCTCCATTGGCTTTCTATGTTTTTCATCCCCACACTCCATTCCCAAGTCCAAAGGCACACCTGGGCCAGCTCAGCATCCCCAATCCCCAAAGTAAGAGAGAGATGCTTTTTTTTTTTTAAGGAGCCGGGGTCTCCCTCTGTTGCCCAGAATGGAGTGGCTCAATCATAGCTCACTGCTGCCTGGAACTCAGCCTCCAGAGTAGTTGGACTATAGACACACGCAACCACACCCGGCCAGGGAGATACCTTTGAGCCAACGTGGAAAATAAGCCAGACAAGCCTTTATTGTGTGTTAGCAAGAAGTGACAAGGGAAAGGTATCCGCTTCGAAAGCCTGCTTGCTCTTTCTTCCTGGACAAGCCAGGTTTGGACAAGGCACAGTTTCAGCTCAGGGTCTTTGTACCCTCTTTCTTCTGCATGCAACACTCTTCCAAGAACCATCCTTACTGCCTGTTCCACCTTCTCAGGGAGGTCATCCCTATCCACCCTACTTAAAATTGCCATCTCTCCTACTCTCATGTTTTGGTAGCTGCTGTATCTTCACATAGCAGGTGCTCACAATTTGTCACGAGTGAACGCCCCACCCCAACCTCCACAGACTGCATCTAGCAGTCTGGGGAGCCAGGGGGGACACCACCTCAGCCCCTCAGCCCACTCCCAGGACCACAGCCATCTGCCCTTCCTCCCTCTGCCTCCACAGGTCCCAGGCACGTGGTGACAGAGTCTGTTTCTCTGCCTCTTGGTCCGCTAGACTGAAAGCAGAAGGGTATCCAGCCCTTGGCTGGGGAGGAACGACAAGGGTGCTCAGCATTCCAGCAGAGGTTAGACTGGGAAGGTAGGCCCACAGCTGGGGGCCCCCGATGTTGCCGTAGGTCTAGCAGGTTTGAGAGGGGTTGAGAGACAAGGGCCTTTTAAAACATATGTGGGTTTGGTGGAGAACAGGTGGAGCCAGACAACTTCCGGGTCCACCAGGATGCAGCGAGGCCAGGAGGAGGGCACAGAAGGGCAAGGAGCACCAGAGGAGTCAGACTTCCTTTAAGACACCCCTTTCTAGCAGAGCATGGTGGCACGCCTGTAGTCCCAGCTACTCAGAAGTTGAGGCTGGAGGATTGCTTGAGCCCAAGAGTTCGAGATCAGCCTGGGCAACACAGTGAGACCCCATCTCAAAAACAAAATTATCCTGTTTCATTCCTTTGACATGTCAACAATTATGATCTGCAAGGAGGGACGAATCAAGCCCCGTTGTTCTCCTCCTGATGGTGTACACATCCAGGTGGGGACAGACTTGGGCCTCCCTGGAAGGGCTGTAAACAGCTGGGAGGACTGAGCGGCCTCTCCCCACCCAGAGCATGTGTGGAACAGCCCTGCTGGAAACCAGACCCGCAGCCCCTTTTAGTCTATTTCCCACAGGGGTCAGAGACAGCCCAGGAAGATATAAATGTATCATGTTGCTCCCTACCTTTAACACCCTCAAAGCCTCATCCTCACTTGAAATAAAATCCTGAATTCCCACCCTGCCTCACACACAAGGATCTGTATGTCATATGAGGCTCCCGTCAGGGCCAGGCGCACTCCCACCTCTTTCCCCTGGCTGTTCCCTCTACCTTGGACATGCGGTTTCAACTCCTCGCGACTATGATCAAATGTCACCTAAAAGACACATCCCCTTCCTCTCTAACATCTAGCCTGTACTTGTTAGCAGTCACCACCCAAAGGGCTTCGTTCTGCTCACAGCTGTAACCCAGGGACCTAGAACAGGCCTGGCATATCACACGTGCTCTGGAGTGTCTGCAGAATGAACAACATAACATCCTTGGCCCAGCCGAAAGGGAACAGTGAAGAGAAACGGAACCTAAGGTGCCACACTTGGGGCTGCAGTCAGGGGTGAGAGGACATGGGTCTTGAGGAGAGTCTAGGCCCACAGAAGGGGATGTGTCCCTGTTCTTCCTACCCCCGCCCCCATCAGGCTAGACCCGGGCTTTGACAGTTACAGTGTCAGCTCATGGGGAGGGTGTAGGTTCCAGAACACAAAGACAAACCAAGCACACAGCTCCGGCACTAAGTCAAGTTCTTTACTTCCCAGAAGTGATGCTAAGAGGAGGAAGAAAGAGGAAGGTGAGAAGAGGAAGACAGAAAGAGTCAGAGAGTGGAAGGAGGTGGGAAGAGAAGGGACAGTAAACCACTGTTCTATTAAGTCTCATGAGGCAAGTGCTCAAGGTAAAAAAAGAGTCCTGGAGAATCGTCCGCAGCTGCGGGAAGCATCTCTGTTTCCTTCTGCATTTAAGTCCTCGGGGGGAAGGCTGCCGCCGCTGCCGCTGCATTAAATAGTTATGTACATCGCAGAGAGTCCCAGGCCGTGGGCAGGCAGGGGAGGGGGTCATTTCACCAGGGGCCGAGTTTTATCATCGTCGCCACACTGGTGGGCTTTGTACTTTTTCACTTCTGCCATGTACTTGGCCCAAGCATCACCTTTACTTGTTAATACCTGTTGGGGGCAGGAGGGACGGGGGTTGGGAGGGGGATGCCGGGAACCAGGGTCAGGACTGTCCTGAGACAGCTGACCCAAACCCAGTGTCACCCCCAAGGCCCTGGGTTTGAGGTAAAGATGCAGAGTCAAGTTATCTGTGGACACTTGAAATCCCTCCCCGCATGCCCATCCAAGGCCCAGCTGCTGGACAGGGGGGGAGGAGGCTCCATCGAGGGGGCGCAAAGGCTGCCAGGGAAAGACAACCCAGGTGGCCCCCCACATCCACCCTGCTCACCTCATCCTCCGTCTTCTGCTTCTTGGCTACTATTCCCGTCTTGAGGGCTAGTTTGTTCCCGCCTCTGCGTTTGCCCACCTGGGTGAAGGGACAGAAGACTGCAACGGTTACAGGAGCCGGGCCCGCCCTTGGCGGTGCTGAGGCCCACTACACCTTCCTAGCCCGGCCCGGTGGCCCGTCCCGACGCCGCGCCCAGCTCCGCCAGCCGGCCAACCTGCGCAGCAATCAGAGAGGAGCACACGCGACTCTTAGCACCTGTCCTGGGCCCCGGGCTGCCCTCCCAGGGAGAAAGCAGCGCTCCCACCATGGTGGGGACCAGCTCTGCCCTCACTCTCCATGCCAAGGCATCACACTCCCCTAGCAGGAACTATATAGGTGGCAACAGCTCCCTTTATTGAGCCCTTACTGTATGCTAAGCCCTGTGCTGACTGCTGTGGATGTGTTCTCTCCTTTCACTTTCACAGCTACCTTAAGGTGAAGGTTATAACCACCCACATTTTATAGATGAGGAAACAGTCTTTGAGAAGGAGAGGTCATGCTGGCAACAAACAAGTGAGCTGGCTTCAGGGTCAGGGGGGTCAGCAGCATCCTCAGTTACCAAGCAACATTGTCTCCCCTACATCTAACTTGGCCTGGCCTCTTTGAGGGTTCAACTGCAATGGAATGGCCCTTCCATAAACAAATGAAAAAGTGACAATTACTGCTATTCCCATTTGTAGAGGGGCACTAAGCCTCCACCCTCAACTGTCACACCAACCCAAGTCCTACCACTTTACCCTGCTTTCCCCTGCCTCAAACAGAAGTCTTTCTCTGGACTTCCACCCTGGTATCTCATCTTCTCCCATCGATCAAGGGCTTCTTGTGCTCCAGGGGCTGCAACAGCCTTCACAGACATCCCATCTTCACCCCTCCACCAGGCATGAAGATGGCACTATTCTCACACCCATTTTTAACAGATGCAAGTCACTAGGCTCAAAAAAGTGGATCACTTATCCCAAATCACATGACTGGCTCCAGGACTCAACCCCCAGTCCATTAATTCTCAAGTAAACACTTTTCCCTCCACACTACACGGAGCAGATCTCAACACCAAAGACAAAGCAAGCTCAGAGGTGACAATCGATATATGCCCTATTTATTTAGCCCGAAGTTTCTCAACCTGGCACTAATGACATTTCGAGCTGGATCATTCTTTGTTGGGGGTGGGGTGGGGTGCTGTCCTACCCATTGTAGGATGTTGAGCAGCATCCCTGGCCTCTACCCATAGATGTCACTAGCACCCCCTCCCGCAGTTCTGACAACCAAAAATGTCTCCAGACTTTGCAAAATGTGGGGGTGGAGCGACTCGTCCCCAACTGAGAACCACTGGTTTAGCCCTTCCTATATAAGACAGGCCCTGTGCTAACCACTTTTCCATAATGACCTCACAGGACCCTCACATCGTAAGAAGCGATGATGTCCATTCTTGCAACTAGGGAAAATGAGGGTAGGCCAGCCCAGAGGCTCCAGGAAAGCAGCGGTCTTTTCTGTCAAGTTCACCACTGCATACCCAGCACCTAGCACAATGCCCAGCACAAGGTAAGGTGCTCAGTAAATAAACCCTGTTCGAATGAAATTCAGGAAAGTCAAGTAGTTGTCCTAAGTAAGTAATTGTCCTACACAATATGCAGTCTGAGTCTAATGCATACAGCTCAAACTCCAAGACTTGAATTTGCCCTCCTTCCCCACAATAGGCGGTGGTCCCACCATCCAAGTCCACGTACCACTTAAACAGGAATCCTATCCCCAGAGTGCTGATTCCAGTGCAATTCCTTAGCTCCCAGTTCCCACGGGCAGGCCTCGGGGGTCCCCTCCCCTGCCCCCGAACCCTCGTCGAGGAAATCCAGGTTCCACATCCTCAGCGGGTGTGGCCCGCTCGGACGGCCCCCTCATGGGGCAGAAAGTGAACCTGAATCCCGATCCCCCCGCTCAGGCCCCAATTCCCCCTGCCAAGGCGGGCCTTGGCGCCCGCCCCCACCCCCGCGGCTCCTTACGAAGCTAAGTGTGGGGCCCGGGCCGCCCTTCCTCTTCGGATCCCCTGGGCCCGCGGCGGCGGAGGCCGACTGGTCCGGTCGCTGCGGGCCCGGGGGCGGCTCTTCCTGCCGCTGCCGCTGCTCCTCCTCCATCTTCCGCTTGAAAAGCTCCAGGAAGCTGCCATCGTTAGCGAACAAGTTCACACCGCCCGAGACCGGGCTCGAACCCGCGCCCGACACCTCCTCGTCCCCGCTCTCGGGCGACGTCCCCGGCCCAGACTCAGCCCATCGGCTCCCGCCGCCGCCACCGCCCGCGGGGCCCGGCGCCTCCCGGCCCGGAGGCTCCGCCCGTCTCCCTCGGGCAGCCATTTTGTCGCCAGGTGCCGCGCAAAGGACTCCGGGAAGGCCGCTCCGGCCCCGCGCTTGGCGCCCGACTTGCCTGGTCTGGAACAATGCATGCCGGGAAGAGCGGTCAGGCCCTCAGGCGTCCGCAGTGGGGGCGGGGCCGAGGGCGGGGCGAAGGGGGCACAACCCGGACGGGGCGGGACAGTGGGGAGGCCCCCACCCCCACCCCGCGTGTCTTTATAATCCAGGGAGCCTGGAGGTGGCTTTTTGCTGTCAGGGGTTCCCCAGGGATGGGACCATCCTCTGGGACTGGGGCTGTAGCTGACTTTCCGGACTGGGGTTCCTGCTTGGGACTGGTGGCTCATTGGCATTAGCTTTCCAGGGCTAGAATCCCTGTCTGGCACCAGGAATAATCTCTGGGAAAGGAAAAATTCCGTTTGGGGCTGTATTCTCACCTGACACCGCCGAATTTGGGTCCCTACCCAGGTCTAGAGGGCATATCTAGCCCCGACTAGAAATAGGGGTATCTCTGAGTTGGGCACCTGTCTCTGGGATGAAGCTCACTTGAGAAAATGGGGGACACAGCTGGCTGTGTGGAGCTAGCGTCCCCGTCTGAGAACAAGCTTATTACACGGGCTAGAGTGTTCAAATGAATCTGGGGGTATTTCTAGGCTCAAGTCTCCCCCCTCTACGGTTAAGAGTGTTCTGGAATGGGGGTCTGCACCAAGGGCTTGGGACCCAGCTTGTATTCCTGCCCCAGGTTAGAGGTTAAAATAGGAAATACGCGAGGAGGTTTTCAGGAATTAGGATCCCTTCTACGACAAGGAGAGCAGTTGCAGGTATGGTGCCTGCCCAGCATGGGGGCTCAGGGAGTGTAGACAGGATTTGCGGACTCTGCCCAGAACTGGAGTTGTGGTCGGGTTAACCCTCACTCAAGCGCCGGGACCCGTCTCCGGCCCATTAATCCATCTATGATTGGTTTGCGTCACAGCCAATTGAATAGCAGAGGGGGCGGACCCGAGGCAAGGTTGGGCCCCAATTTGGAGAATAGAAGGAAATGACTGACAGGAGTCTAAGCCTATGAAATCAGGCCAGGGCGGACCTCGGTCCTAACTTCACCGAAAGAGCATGGACAGGGTGTTTGGCCGGTTGCTAAGGAGAGGTTGGCGGCTACCGAGACGTGAGAGTGACTGGTGGAAGTAAGAAAAGATGTAGCCAATGAAAGAAGTGCTGCAAGACTCCCCTTCCAATCAGTGAAGGGGAGTAGCCTGGACTGTACCAATATTTTCATTAGGCAAGGGGAGGTCCTTGGAAAAATATAGACCAAAGGTCGACAAAGTGAACGCTGGAAGCAGATAACAGTGAAAATATAGTTTCCGTTTGCTCCTAAAAGGCAACCCATGAGGAAATTAATTCAGTCTCCTAACCTCAATGGGGATGTGATAGAGGATTTCCCCTGCAGGTGTGTTGCATGGTGCGCCCCGCTTGATCACGTGACCCGGTTCCAAGATGGCGGCAGGGGTGGCCGGGTGGGGGGTTGAGGCGGAGGAGTTCGAGGATGCGCCTGATGTGGAGCCGCTGGAGCCTACGCTTAGCAACATTATCGAACAGCGCAGCCTTAAGTGGATCTTCGTCGGGGGCAAAGGTGGCGTGGGCAAGACCACCTGCAGGTGAGGAGACGGCGGCGTGGGCCAGGAAGGCGGGTGGGATGTACCACTGTGCGAAGGGGACGCCAAGGACCGGCTTTTCCACTCCGACCGGGGCAAGGGGGCTGAGATGGGGTCTTTCGGGTTGTACTCCCTGGAAGTTACATGGAGCAAATGGAAGGTACCGCCTCAGTGCAAGCCTTGCATCTTCTGAGTTGGACCATCCCCATTGGAGCGCAAGTGCAGTGCTGAACCACAGTTAACCCAGTGCAGAAGGTAGGGGATGCGGAGGAGCACTTAGATGTCCCAATCAGCTGGACTGTTCTCGAGTGCATTCAGAATAGGGGGAAGGGCACCGGAGCAAGCTATCCTAGTCAGGTGAACTTTGCCATGTTATGCCCAGGGCGACGTTGGTGATGGATGGCAGATCAGACTGCCTTTGTCAGCAGTGGGGAGGAGGGGTCCTTTGGGCAAATTGTCCTGGACAAGTAGACTGAACCATTCTGAGCTTAACAGGGAGTGCAAGGGACCCCTTAGCTTAGAGTTGAGGGAGAAGGCAAAGAGTCAAGCTGTGAGTTGAGGAAGAGGGGCATAGAGTCAAGCTGTGCCTTTATTGGGCAACCTGTGCCCAATAAAGAAGAAACAGGGACCAGGCCAAATGGACTCAATGAGCTAAACCTTACCACTCTAGTCCACATAGGAGGGATCAGTAGGTGAGGTCTGAAGGGATTCTTCTGCAGGGATTGAGGCTTAATCCCACAGTGATCCATACTCTCCTCTATAGGCCCTTGTTGATCTGGGTCACCTGCTCTTGGGATGGTACCTCTCTCCTTGCCGACCCAGGGAACAGAGCCCAACCCCTCACTCCCCCACCATTCGACCTTTCTTTTGCCCAGCTGCAGCCTGGCAGTCCAGCTATCCAAGGGGCGAGAAAGCGTTCTGATCATCTCCACCGACCCAGCCCACAACATCTCAGATGCTTTTGACCAGAAGTTCTCAAAGGTGCCTACCAAGGTCAAAGGCTATGACAACCTCTTCGCTATGGTGAGTGGAGCAGGGCTCAGCTCCCACTTCTGGCAAAGGCTCTTTCAGGCCTTTCTTGTACAGACCCACCAGCAGCCACCATGTCCTACCCACTCAACATCCAGTTTCACTCTTTCCTCAACATACCCAAAGGAGAATGAGTGAGGAGCAGGAAGTACCTGGAGCTTAGTGAGCCAGAGAAGGGGAAAGAGAAGCCAGAGAGGCCAAGGAGAGCAACATGGCTTTGAACCTTGCAGGGCATGGAAAGCAGTTTGACTTTGACTCTAAGTTTAATAGAAAGCTGTTCATTTGAAGCAAGGCAAAATCATAGGCAAATTCATGTTTTGAAAAGTTCTGGCTGGGCGAGGTGGCTCACGCCTGTCATCCTAGCACTCTGGGAGGCCAAGGCAGGCAGATCGCTCAAGGTCAGGAGTTCAAAACCAGCCTGAGCAAGAGTGAGACCCTGTCTCTACTAAAAATAGAAAAGAATTAATTGGACAACTAAAAATATATAGAAAAAACTAGCTGGGCTGGGGGCGGTGGCTCACGCCTGTAATCATAGCACTCTGGGAGGCCAAGGCAGGCAGATTGCTTGAGGTAAGGAGTTCAAAACCAGCCTAAGCAAGAGTGAGACCCCATCTCTACTATAAATAGAAATAAATTAATTGGCCAACTAATATATATAGAAAAAATTAGCCGGGCATGGTGGTGCCTGCCTGTAGTCCCAGCTACTCGGGAGGCTGAGGCAGAAGGATCACTTGAGCCCAAGAGTTTGAGGTTGCTGTGAGCTAGGCTGATACCATGGCACTAACTCTAGCCTGGGCAACAAAGTGAGACTCTGTCTCAAAAAAAATAAAAATAAAAATAAATTAGCCGGGCGTGGTGGCGCATGCCTGTAGTCCCAGCTACTCGGAGGCTGAGGCAGTAGGATCTCTTGAGCCCAAGAATTTGAGGTTGCTGTGAGCTAGGCTGATGCCACGGTATTCTAGTCCAGGGAACAGAGTAAGACTGTCCCAAAAAAAAAAAAGAAAAAGAAAAGTTCCCTCTGGCTGCCATGTGGAGGTTGGATTGTAAGTCAAGGGTGGAAGCAGGAGTACTAAAAAGGAGGCTGCAGCTGTGACCAGGCATGAGATGACAGCAGCCTGGACTCAGGTGGGGACAGAAATCTGGGGGAGAAGTCAGATTTGAAATGTATTTTGGAAATAAAGCAATGATATCACTTGTTTATAATGGGTGAGGGAAAGAAATGAATTAAATATCTCTCTTATTTGTCTCTCTAAGCCTTCGGGATGGGGAAGACTAGGAAAGAAGGTTTAGAAGGGACAAATCAAGAATTCCATTTTGGCCAGGCATGGTGGCTCAAGCCTGTAATCCTAGCACTCTGGGAGGCTGAGGTGGGAGGATCTGACAGTCTCAAAAAAAAAAAAAAAAGAATTGTGTATTGTCCACAGTGAATCTGAGGTACCCACTGGACATTCAATTGGCGACATCATGACAATAGCTTAGTTATGTGAGTCTGCAGCTAAGAGGAGGTTGGTGTTGGTTTGGAAGTCATTGTCCCAAGGGTGGTATTTAAAGCTGTATGAGTGGAGGAGAGTGTGAGAGAACAGAGAAGCCCAGAAACAAGCTTGGGGGCACATCAGCATTTAGGGACCAGCAGAGAAGGACAAGAAGGAGGCACCGGTGATATGGGAGGAAAGACAGAGGGTGTGGGGTCTGGAGCTCCAGGAAAACAAAGGGTCTTGGGCAGGAAGAAGTTGTGGCCTCTGGCAGGTACCTCGGTTTTGGAGAGAGCCCCCTGGGAGCAAGAGCAAAAACCTGCTTCTAGTGGGTGAGGTGAGGAGGTGAGGACACGGTGATGGCCATGATGACAGAGCTGTCACTGGAGGGAGTGGGGGGCAAAGGACTGTTTTGAGAAAGGGGACATTAGAATATGCTTGTTTGCCGATATGAACGTGCCAACAGGACAGAAAAGAGCTGGGGCAGAGGAAGCAAGGATGCTGGCCCCGGGTGGTCCTCAGGCAGGATGAGCTCTAGCCAGCCTGCACACCCACGACGTGGCTTTGCCAGGGTCAGGGACTAAGGGAAGCAGAAGGAACTGGGGCACTTCCTGGGGGGAGATGAGGATGTTGGAAGCCTGTGGTTTCTCTTTGTCACCAAGGCACAGGTGAGGGCCCCAGAAGAAGTTTGAGAAGGGAGAAGATGCCACATAAACACTTCTCATGAGCTGGGTGCAGTGGCGCATGCCTATAGTCCCAGCTACTTAGGAGGCTGAGGCGGGAGGATCGCTTGAGCCCAGGAGTTTGAGGTTGCTGTGAGCTAAGCTGATGCCATGGCACTCTAGCCCAGACAACAAAGTGAGACTCTATCTCAAAAAAAAAGGAAAAAAAAAAACACTTCTCAGGGGAGAAGGGGGACCCAGGACTGGCTGGTTTGTCGAGTACTTGTTGAAGATTTGTGATCAGGACCAGGAATGGGGACAAAGTTCAGGCCCTTGGGTGCAGTGATACCAGAGAGCCGGGAATAACTAAGGTAGGATTTTGCCAACCACAGAGGGAAAAGAGAGTGTTTGCGAAGGCAGCCTATGCAGTCTGGCCCAGATGAGGGTGCCAGCCAAGAGGGACACTGGCAGTGAACAGGGGTCAGCAGCGAGGGGATGAGGTGACCCAGAGAGGTTGAGAATACTGAGGCAGAAGAGGCTAAGGTAAGAGAGAGGAATGTGGGAGGTCAGAGGTGGCCCAGTGACTAGGAATAACCCATCAAGGGTGTGAATATAAGAGGGTCCTTGTGTGGGGGGATGGTTGGCCAAGCTCCCCACAGGGGAATGATCTGGAAGAGGTCAGGAGACCAGTGGTGAGAGTATCTTGGGGAGGCAAGTTCCAGGTGAAGATTAGCAGTGCAAATGCCCTGTGGTGGGTGGATTTCAGCTTCCCTTTGGGGGCCCTGGTCACAGCTTGCAATTATGTAAGACTGTAAGTCCCCAAGGGAGGGCAGTGCTACGTTGGGGTCCCCATAGCCATGACCTAATTAGGGGCCTGTGGTTGGAGCCTGCCACAGGCTCCCTCTGGCCCTGTGCCCAGGTGGGAAGGTCCCCGGCAGTAGCAGCGGCCTGAGTCTCGTCCCCTCGGCCCCCAGGAGATCGACCCCAGCCTGGGTGTGGCAGAGCTGCCGGACGAGTTCTTCGAGGAGGACAACATGCTGAGCATGGGGAAGAAGATGATGCAGGAGGCCATGAGCGCCTTCCCAGGCATCGACGAGGCCATGAGCTATGCCGAGGTCATGAGGTCAGGCCCAGCCAGCGGGGATGGGGGCTGCCCAGGGGAGAGGGGCAGCGGAGCAGGCCTGACCCCCCTCCTCCCCTCAGGCTGGTGAAAGGCATGAACTTCTCGGTGGTGGTGTTTGACACGGCGCCCACGGGCCACACGCTGAGGCTGCTCAACTTCCCCACCATCGTGGAGCGGGGTCTGGGCCGCTTGATGCAAATCAAGAACCAGATCAGCCCCTTCATCTCACAGGCAGGCGGGGGCCCTGGGCATCCGGTGTCCTGGAGCGGGGGTGGCCCCCACACCACCAGATGTGCCCTCCCCCCACCCCTTTCTATCAGTGCTGCTCAGTGGATGGGACATATTTTCACTGGGGGATGGGAGGAAACTGTCTCCCCCACCCCACAGGTCAGACTCAGTGTCCCTGCCCCTGCCCACTGAGTGCCCCAGACAGAGCTTGGAAGCATAGAGCCAGGTGGCCC